AAACAAAATTGTTTATCTGCAGACATGGCGATTAATTGCGGATTTTATAATCTCTTGCCGCCTCACGCTGCCGTCATACCGCCGGCGCTAAGGTCCTTCATCGCAGCCTTGCCGGCGGCCGAAGGCCCTCAGATCTCAGCCGATTTCGTCCTGTCGATGTGCCTGCAAAATCCTCTGCCGCCTCAAATTCCTTGTCCGTTGATTAAACCAGAAAGGCCGAAAAAGAAGAGGAAGGCTCCTGACCGCGATGACGTCAGCGCCGCCGCCCGTCAGCCGCGGCGGTTGGACTACTTCCAGTTCCGGCATCTTATGAAGGCTCGTGAGGCCGCGGCCAACGGCAACAGATCGTCTTCGTCGGGGTCGGCGTCGGCGTCTTCGGTGTCTTCCGGCGGTCGTTCTAATTCGAGTTCCGCGTGATTTTGAATTGATTCGTTATTGGTTTTGGTTCGATTGCTCATTGTAAAGGTTTTTGTGTTCTTTAGGATTTGAGCTTAAAGGATGTGATTTTGTTAAGATTTTGATTGGATTAATATGGTTTGTTTGTTGATGGTTGTCGATTGCGCAATTTGTCTATGAATGAAATGCTGAATATTCAACAAAATTAGTTGAAAAAAAAAGCGTAAAAAGAACACTAAAATAGTGAAATCAAATGAAAATAATTATTTTCACAATACTAAATTTCACACCACTAATTCAAAACTTGTAATGTTTTACAAATAGTGTGATAATCACGTGATGTGATTCTATTGTGCGATCCATCACGTAGTGTAACCATATTGTATGAGTATAGACTGTATAGTGGTGTGATTTTATTGTACGTGTAATTATATTGTACGAGTATAGTGATGTGATTTTATTGTGCAATTTGTTGTAATTATGGTTTTATCATGTGGTATAATTATGTGGTTCTATCATGTGGAATGTTAATGATATGATTATATTGTGTCAGTATGTCATACCAACCATTATTGTATGTACTAATAAAAAAAATATTATTCAACTATTTATATATTTTTAATTATTAATCTTATGAATCATATTTTGTTATTTTCAGATTGTAACAACTTTATTATTTCTGTTTTTATCTTATATTCATTCATAATTTTAAATTTATCTCACTTTTTTTTTTACTTTTCCATCTTACTTGTTCGGACGAGACAATTTTTTTCAATATATTTTCCATCTCTTTTTCCCTTTTTCATAACAATCCCAGCCTTTTATTCTTGCTTTCTGAAACTACCCTCTTTAGTCCAGTTAGTTATTTGAAGTCGAAATGTGAAAGAAAAATATGAAGGTTTTGGGCTTTTCTTTTTCTTTTTCTTTTTTTTGGTAAAGAATCATGAAAGAGTTCACATAATTTTCAAAGTGATAATGGTTTGGAGAAATTTCATTCACATTTCACAAAAGCTCATAAGCGTAGATTCATATATAAAAACTACAAAAATCAATTCGTAATGCAAAATTATATAATAAAAGTAAAAATAAAAAATAAAACGATGAAAAAAGAAGAAGAAGAAGAATGGACAAAAGTAAATTAAAAAATGAAGATTTAAAATTATTAATTGCTATGGTAACTCCCTGACATCAAACTTAAGAATGTTTGTAGTTCATCAATTATCAAAATTAAGTAAATTGAGCTTACCATTCCTTTTCCCGGACAAACCAGAACTCGTACCGATTTTGAACTGATTCGATTCAAATCCAATTAAACGAAATCAAACTACAAACGAATGTGAAATGTGAATTGCCATTGTTTTTTTTTAAGATTTTGTATGCGGTTAATAGTTCAATCAGTACACAAAATATAAAATGGAGCCGAATGTGAGCTAGATACGGAACCAACGTGCGGGCTCAAAATTCATGGGCTAAGCAAATAACACCAACAACATTGGCATATTATTTGACTTCCCAATTCCCATCAAGCAGACAAGAATAGTGAAATTCTCAGCAACAAAAGCCCCCAAAACCCATGAGCACAAAACCAAACACAACACACAACCAAGCATCTCAAACTAAAACATGAAAAAAATCAAAAGTGGGCTTCAGAAACTTAGAATTAGCATAAATCATCCAAAGGGGGTCTGGATTTGGTGAGATCAGAAAGAACTAAAGGGAAATAAATGTTTCCAAGCATAAAAGAAAACCAAATATTTCAAACTTTCAACACTTGCCCCAAGGGAACCCTAAGTCTACTAGACATATAGCAGAAACATTAATCGTTCGAGCATCCTCTCGGCCATTTGTCATCACTCCAAAGCATCCCTCATAGCTTGCCTGCGAATTTCTTTCTCCTCCTCATGGGCTAAGGCATCACGAATTCTCGTAAGCTTACGAAGTTCCTCAACCGACATGCCCTTTATCATGTCCGCCACAGTCTGGCACGTGATGTCGAGCAACCCTTTGATTTTCAGGTAATTTGCAATCTGAAAAGAAGAGAGCACTACAGATTAAACAAAACGAGAAAAAAAAAAACACTCTGATTTCATCATGTCATACTCGTACGAAAGCTTCTCGACGCAAACACTGAGGACAGCCTTGTATGAAAATCACCAGACAATGTTATTAGCACTTCCACAATCCATGAATAGAATAAAATTCATACTACAAATCTACAATCCAACAAGAATCGACGAAAAACTCAGCACCATAATCAACAAATTCACCATGGAAACAAAAATAGTGAAACAAACTGCAAAAGCTAGAAAACGACACGCACATACGATGCACAATCTTGGAACAGTTAATACACAATAGCACTGCATAAAGCATAATAAAACGTTTATCAGTTCATAATCCACACATACAAGCTATTGAAATCGAACAAACAAGTATATAGAACAGCAGGACAGCACGATTGGGGTCATACAAAACCCAACGCCATAAAAGATCAAATCCAATTCACACAACGAGCAATAACACTTATAAAACCCAGAGCAATCTCATCTACATAGGCAAAAGAGTATACGCAGCAAAATCAAGCATAATCAAAGGATTATCAATTCATAACCCACACAGAGAAGCTATCAAAATCGATTAATCTAAATAGAGCAGCAGGACAACACGATTGCGGTTACAGAACCCAACGACACGAAAGACCAGAAACAATGCACAGAACCAGCACGAACACAACACAGCACAAAACAACAAATAAAACACAGAGTCATCACATCAATATAGGCGAAAGAGTATAAGCAGAAAAATCAACAATATTGAAGTCAAAATACTCAAAATAATCAAATTGAAACACAGAGCTCGAGGCGGAAAATAACCGTGGACAGATCAAGCAACTCGTCCATGTCGAGCTTTACGAACTCGGCGTCGAATTCCTTCAGATTCTCCTCGGATTCCTCGCCGGCGTGCTTCCTGCAGTACTCGATCACCTTCGGCAGCACCTCCGACGAGAACGGGATTGGAATGGCGTTTGCGGCGCCGCCGTTGTCGATCATCTGCTTGATCTTCGGTGACATGGCGGCGACGGCTTCCTCCACCTCGAACGTCACCTCATCCGAGCACTTCAGGACGATCGTCTTAGCTTCTGTGGGCGCCATTGAATTGAAGGAGGTCGAGGTCAAAAAGTGAGGAATAGGGCTATGAGGGGTCGATATTTTTTGGTGCAAATGAGGGGTCGATTTTTATAGAGAAGGAACTGAGACGAGAGTATTTTTGGAGCGATATTCTCCTATTTGTGCTGAAAGCCTTTTTTGGTTGAAATATGGGAAGGCAATGGAAATAGATTTTATTATTTGAAATTAAAATATTTTATAGGATGTATCATGTATGGGAAGGCAATGGAAATATGGCGTGATATAATCTTTCCTTTCCTAATTTTATTCAATTTGTTATACGGAAAAGGTATCCTATAATTGATAAACAAGTTAACTTCGAGCTAGTTTAAAGCACTGTTCTAAAAATTGGCCTAGGCGGTGCCCGGGCGCCTCCGATTTGTACAAATCGGCAGAAAAAATCGGTCAGGCGGCTAGGCGGCGCCTAGGCGGGCCTAGGTGGCCCTAGGCGCTCCTAGGTGATTGGTGGGGAAAGTGTGTATCTTTATATATTTATTAGCGTATTTTTATATGCTTAATTTTATCGCACTTATCTATTTTTCGACTTATTTATTTCTTTAGATGGATTCCTGCACTTTGATATTTTTATGATTTATTTTTAGAATATTGGAGCATTTTCATTGGCGGCTGAAGAATTAAATAAAAAGAGACATGAAATTGGGCATTCACGCCATCAAGCCCAAATATTGGTTAATTGAGCCCAATTTGGGCTATTAACTTATTTGAGGAAAAGAGACGCAGCCATCAGGATTGTTTTACTTTGAGAAGTAACCACCAATCATCCATAGGATTTATTTAAGGGTGTTGTTATTCACCGCCCCCCATTTTACTAGTCACCGCCCCCCTTGGACAATTTTGCCCTTCTCATTTTTTCTAAACATCTCAGAGGAAAGTGTACGGTGAAATGTCGTCAAATTCGGAGGTACGAAAAAATACGTGTACGGTCGCCGGTTCCGGACGGGCTAAAAGCCGTCCGGACGCCGGAACCGGACGGACTAAAAGCCGTCCGGACCGGCCGGCCGGACGACAAGTAATACCGGCCGGAAAGCACGGCCGGACGGACCGTTGCTGTCCGGACCGGCCGGCCGGACGGCAAGAAAGCCGTCCGGAAACGACGGCCGGTCGGAACCGGTCCGTCCGGTTCGGCCGGCCGGCCGGAATTTTTTTTTTTTTTTTTTTTTTTTTTTTTTTTTA